TGGCTGGGTGATAGACATTGGGGAGGGTATGTGCTACGGTGAGCGCTGTGAATTGTGTAAGACTGTTGAATCACAGACCTGTACTTCTGAAACAAATAACGCAACATATTTTAAGGAAAAAGAAAAAGAAGAAGATAGCAGGAGAGGAAGAATGAAGGGGAGTACGTCAGAGGGGGAGACGAACCAGGAGAGATGATGGACTCTGAAAAACAAACTGAGGGTTCTAGAGGGGAGGAGGGTAGGGGGATGGGTTAGCCTGGTGATGGGTATTAAAGAGGGCACATTCTGCATGGAGCACTGGGTGTTATGAACAAACAATCATGGAACACTACACCAAAACAAATGATGTAATATATGGTGATTAACATAACAATAAAAATTTAAAGAAAAGATTTACTGTTGATAGTGTGAAGATTTAACACAATGAGAATTGGAATTCTCTATTAATTTCTTTCTATTTGTTTCCAAGGTTTGCAAGTAACAACATAAAGATGGACTGCACTGAATCCTTCCTGGGATGAATTAGGAAACTCAAAGGAGTATATTTAAGAGCCTTAGCCAAGATACAATAAGTACTTTGGTATGATAACATCTGTTGGTTCGTTTGTTTGTGTTATCACACATGGTTTCCCCGACATGTGGAACGGTAAATCGTTATCCACACCACTGGACAGGAATTTACCTTAATGAGTTGTTCTTGCTCCAAGGAGTGCAGAGAGAGAGCATAGCTCACAATGAGTCAGTTCCTCTGGACCAGTGGTTGTCAAACTTCTCTGAGTGGGACCCAGAGTACCAAATAAGATTTACATCACAATCCAGTATATATGTAACCTATTGTGCTTGTATGTGTCTGTGTGTGTGTGTGCAGGTATATATGTATGTGATGTGTGTATATATATGCCTACCAAGTATCACAAAGCACTTAACCTTAGATTCAATGTGTGCTGATATTTTTCTATTTTTATAATATTCATTACCATCTAATACCAATGCCCATTTCCTGCAAATAAAGGCTTTAGCGGTCACATTGAATAAATCAACAATTTACTAGAGTGTCTTTTTTTGTGTGTGGGTTTTTTTTTTTTTTAAGATTTTATTTATTTATTTGACAGAGAGAGAGAGATAGTGAGAGCAGGAACACAAGCAGGGGGAGTGGGAGAGGGAGAAGCAGGCTTCCCGCCGAGCAGGGAGCCCGAGGCGGGACTTAATCCCAGGACCCTAGGATCATGACCTGAGCCAAAAACCGACTGAGCCACCCAGGCGCCCCTTTGTGTGTGTTTTGTTACTGTTTCTTACTATGGGTAAAACCACTGGATCATTGTGTCATTTGTGTTGATACTTTGTTATAATAGGGAGTATTTTATGTGTTTTATTGTTTCTGTCAAACCAATGGCCTAAAGTCACAGAAATCAGTTATGGTTACTTAAATGATAAGTAGTACCTTTCATTGAAAGGAACAGACAGGAGATCTGAATTGTATAATTTTTTGAGGCCTCTTTCAATGCTGGAATTTAAATTATCTGCTGTACTGATCAACCTCTTGTTTTTGTAACAAATAGATTGCTCCCAATCCTCTCAATCTGTACAAATATAAATATATTGTTACCTTAACTTTAACTGGTCTTTACAGACTCATTTGAGCAGCTGTCATTATTTCTGTAGCTCTAACTAGCTTGTACTCAGGGGGAATTAGGGAGGGGTTTTGGATCACACACACTTACACAACAAGCAAACAGCAACAAAAAAAACAAACCCTGAGCCCAAATGGCAGTTCTCCCATCTAACAGCTCTATGACTCTGATCAAATTGTGGGAAGTCTTTATTTTGAACTATTGGAAGTCTCTATTTCATATCAACAGTACTTAGTGTGGGTGTAGCGTAGAGTAAGGATTAAGTTCAGACACCTTAATACGGCCTCCAAGGCACTCCCTCAACTAGCTTCTGTGTGCCTCTCTATTCCCATTGCCCATTGCCCATCACTCAACCCATTGCTGTTCAGTGCCGTGACCTCCTCTCCTCAAACTTACCGGGATCCTTCCTGCCTCGTGATGGGCACACATGCTGTGCTGGATGCTCAGAGCAAACTTGCACACCCCTCCCCTCCAATCAGCCTGCCCCCCTGCCCCTCCTTCAGAGTGCCTTGACGTCCTACCTCAAGGAGAACTTCCCTCTGTAGATGCTCGCAAAGCTCCCCTACTTGTCCTCCAGAGCACTAATCACAATTGGATTTATACTACCAACGCTCATTTAGAATCGCTCATTTAGCGACAGTCTCTCCAGCTACAGAGAAGCTCCATGAACGCAGGTCTTGCCACTGTGACTGAGTTAAACACCCATCCCTGCGAACCAGCACACTGTCTAGCACATGATGAACACCCCAAAAAATATTGGGTACAAAAACAAATTCCTATTACGTCAAGAATGAATTCACATGCAACCGATATATTTTTTGAGTAGTAGCTTAAGCTCATCGGGGTTTTTGTTTGTTTTTTTACATAAGAAGAAAGTTCAAGGCAGGCAGTCCAGAGTTGGCACATGGTGTTGTCAGATTTAGGGGAAAAAACACAATTAGAGGACACACAGTTAAATTTGAATTTCAGATAAACTATAGTTATTTATAAATAACTTTAGTGTAAATAAGTCCCAAATACTACATATATAAGACTGTTGTTTTTCTGAAACTCAAATTTAATTGGGTGTCCTGTATTTTGTCCAGCACCTCTGCTTTTGCACAACTCAAAAATGTCAGAAAAAAAGCCAGGGTTGTCCATCCTTGGCCTGTGGTCCTATCACCAGGAGGTCACAGGAAGGCCTTGAAAGTTCCCAATGTCGTGTCAGCTATCAAAGCAGGAAGATGGGGGGGGGGGGCACAGATAGCCCATGCCTTCCAAAATCCCCCAATAGTGTCCCCAGCAGACTCAGATGTCTCTGGAGCCAGGACTGGCTCACATGGCCACTTCTCACTGCAAGGGAGGCAAGACAGAGACTGTCATGACAGATTTGAACCAATTATGATTCATTGTCTGGGGATGTTGCCATAAGAACAAAATCAAGCCTCTTTTAGCAAGGAAGGAGGAGGGAACAAGTGAGCAACCCAAAGTGCCTACCACAACCTTTAATCTGCCTACCCTTCCTGGCCATGATTTTATCAAGCTTGGATTGCTCTAATTCGAAATTACTGTTCTCAAAACAGTAGGAACTTTTTTTTTTAGAATAAAAGTCTAGGGATACCTGGGTGGCTCAGTCCATTGAGCGCCTGCTTTTGGCTCAGGTCATGATCCCAGGGTCCTGGGATGGAGGGAGCCTGCTTCTCCCTCTGCCTGCAGCTCGCCCTGCTTGTGCTCTCTGTCTCTGACAAATAGATTAAAAAATCTTGAAAACAAAAAGAATAAAATCTAGACGTATTTTTTAAACATCATTTCCAAGAATTCCTGAAATACCCTCTTCTCCCCAACCCTCACCCCCCCCACCCCCGAGGGATGTCCCTGCTGATTGAGGATCATTACACTTGACTTTTCCCCCCATTTCAGCATGCGAAACTAGGTCAGAGAAAGACTCTTTACCTTGAAGGGGAGATGAAAAGGCTTAAACGACATTAAAAATAGAAATAGTCAAATCCCTTTGAGAGGAAATAAGCATCTTTTTGCTTACTACTCTCAGTGAGAAATAAATCAGGAATTCAAAATGAAGACTACCTCATTTCTCATTTCTGGCAGTGCATTTTCACACCGCAGTTCGTCTTGCCCACACAGTTGATGAGACATTATATCTATTTCAAAAGGCAGATGCTCTTTATATATTGAAAGGAGCAAACCTGTTGACATCTCCACTCTGTGCATAAGTAGCTTCAATCCCTTTTAGGTGAATTTGTTGTAGGAAGACTTCATCGTACTTAATATCAAACAGAGGAAGGAATCACAAAGGAACTTTATACGGACTGTCACAGTAGAAGGTGAGACTCAAACCCAAGTTAACCTTTTAAGGCCATGCGCCTGGAAGTGCACAGAATCACAAAATGTTGGAGCAGGATCAGCTGGTCCAACCTTCTGTATTTCAGTATGGAAATTAAAACCGGAGCTGGTGATCTGCCCAACCCCATGCAGCTAGTTAGTGACGGGATGAGAGCCAGGTCACCATCCCCACACCACTCAAATAGGCACACACACACACACACATTTTTTAATTTCAAAGCAAGAAAGGGCAGAAAAGTCGTCTGCCAGACTACATCATCTGTCCTCTCTCCTTTGAAGACTGCAAATTGAGGAGCTTGGGAAGACAGGGGCTGAGGCAGGGAAACATGAAACTTTCTGCTCTGGGCTGTTGGAGCCTAGTCAAGGAGACAACCCTGCTCACAAGCAGTGGGAAGCTGATGTGTGCTCCATGCCGCTATCTGGCTGGGCTGACCTTAGGCTTGGGGCCCTAGCTGCTCTTCCAACAGTCCATCTGTGGTGGAGAGTTAGGGAAGAGCAAGGATATGGAAAAAATAGAACAGGCAGGGCGCCTGGGTGGCTCAGTTGGTTAAGCGACTGCCTTCGGCTCAGGTCATGATCCTGGAGTCCTGGGATCGAGTCCCACATCGGGCTCCCTGCTCAGTGGGGAGGCTGCTTCTCCCTCTGACCCTCTCCCCTCTCATGCTCTCTCTCACTTTCTCTCTCTCTCAAATAAATAAAATCTTAAAAAAAAAATAGAACAGGCATTGCACTCCTTTTTTTGCAAACCCACAGAAATAGATAGAAATGGCAATAGCAGGTTCAGGGATCTAATCAAGGGAGTGTGACCTGCAGATAAGAGAACATCAACTTTCTTACCAAAGTGAGCATATCTGCTAAGTGCATTCCCACGAGTCCAGAAACACGTCGTCAAGGCGAAAGTGGATATATAATAATATGCTCCCTGCACGCTTCCAGATCCCAAAGAGTTAGGTCACGTTCTTCAAGATTAAAAATTGAAACTAGGGGCGCCTGGGTGCCTCAGATGGTTAAGCGTCTGCCTTCGGCTTAGGTCATGATCTCAGGGTCCTGGGATCGAGTCTCACATTGGGCTCCTTGCTTAGCAAGGAGCCTGCTTGTCCCTCTGGCTGCCACTCCCCCTGCTTGTACTCTCCCTCCCTCTCTCTCTCTCTGGCAAATAAATAAATAAAATCTTAAAAAAAATCGAAACTAAAGCTCAGATAAAGAAATCTGTATTGACTCTTCCCTCCAAGCCTACACAAGATCCCAGAACTTATTGTTATCCCAGTGGTTTTCAAACCTTAGCATGTACCAGAATCACTTGGATAGCTTGTTAAAACAGACGGCTGGTCCCCAACTCCAGAGTTTCTGACCCAGTAAGCCTGGGATAAAGCCCTAGAATTTGCATTTCCAACAAGTTCCCATGTGATGCCGACAGTGCTGACCCAGGGACCACTTTCAGAACGACTGCTCTACAGAGGACCAACAGCAGCTTGCAGACCCAGGACAGGCCCTGCGGGCTGTTACTTGGACACTACCAGCCTGAAAGAATCAGTATTATCAGCCCCTAAAGATATTGCCAAATCACGCTCGCGCTAGTTACGGGTTTTATCACTCCAAATTCTTCCTTTTTGCCTCCTCTGTAAAAATTAATCTGGGCCCTTTACATTGTTTTTCCCTTCCCGGGGGGAATGATGTTAGGCTTTGTCAACAGAAGGTGCTGGAGAGACATGGCAGAAGAAAAGGGTTTTGCTTTTGGTTCTTGTGGGTTGGCAACTGTAGCCGAATACCTCTGGGGAGGCACCTCCCCACTGAGCCGCTTTTCCATGGCCCCCTAAAGGGAGGGTGGTTCCCAAAGTTCTAGAAGATGGATTTCTAGCAAGTTTTGTCAGCTTGACAACAGAGCTACTTTCCAGCCATTCCTGAGCCTTGGCAGTGCCGTCTCCAGTGAGGTTTGGCTCTCATTAGTGACCACATAAATATGAGGTTTTGAGAGGCAAAGTAACTACCCAAAGTTCCACGGCTCACGCTTGTTGGAACCAGGTTTTGGAACCCAAGCAGGGAGCTCTTAACCACCATACTGTAC